AAAGGAGAAGAAGACATTTCAACTAGATCAAGGTTAAACTGTCTTAAGCTGGGACGGTCACCATGGAAGTCAAATGATAATATGATGCTTCCATGCTGGGATAAACCTTAGATTTCATCCTTAAATTTAGACGATATCAGATCACACAATCTATTCTTGTTAATTAATTCATTTAATATATTACAACCTGCTGTTAGAGATAAGTAAGTTTTATGACTGAGAATGAAACTTTTATCTGTTACCGTGGTAATTGGACTATTGACGATAGATAAAAGTAAATTAAAGCAGACACGTGAATCATTCAAATTTGTATTAGAGCACTACTTCGGAGATCTGTATTGAGTGAAATTTGTGCCAGGAAACCAACATGTGTGTTTGGAATGTAATATTAGGATTCAGATATCTGATTTTAAGAACTTATTTCAAATAATTAGTTAGAGAAATGAATAATTGAAAGTGACATAAAAATATGATTCTGTGAACTTTTAGATATAAGATTTAATTCCTTATATATCTTTGTTATAAAACTATAAAACAAGTTTAAGCAGTGTACTATGTCATGTCTGGGTAATTACTAAGAAATAAGGATTCTTTTAAAAATTAGTGGTGTGTTTTGAAAAAGCTTGAACTGCCAATTGATCAAATATTATTTGACTTGTTGTAGAATCAGAAAGGATCCCCGGAAAACCATATTATTATAAAAAATATAGCATTAAAATACTGAGTATATGAATCCCCAAAGATCTCCCGTCTCAAAACTTACCAACGTGTTACTTTAGAAATTCCGGAAAACAATGAAAAATAATGTGTAATGCATTTTAGAATGGAGAAATGAAGCCAGTATTATAAATTCCAAATAAAAAAGACAATATTCTACGCTTTCAATAATATTTTTTTCGACTAGTATCAAATATCGATGCATTGCAAGGTTGTCTACCTAAATGTCACAATGTTAGTGTCCTCAATTTTTCGATACTAATTTACTAGTATTGCCAGTGTCAGTTTCCTGACGAACGTCTGTTGCTTTCTCTGTGCATTCCGGTGTCTAGAATAATGTCTTATTTCGTAATATGCTCTTTGTAAGCCATTTTATGGAAATAAACGTCTTCTTCTCCTTCCATAACAAAGATTGCTGAAAGTGGCGTTAAACATCAACAATCAACCAATCAGTTTTCAAAGAATTTCGTTTAAGCGTGTGTCACAGCACAAGATAAATATACTTATATATTGTTCCAATTAATGATATCAGAAGTCCATTACTAGGGCTCGAGTAATGGACTTCTGATAATATTTATAAGTTTAACACGAGATTTTTTCATCATTTTACACAAAGTCTAATCGGTATAAAAGCATATAACGCTAAATCTGTTCTATAGTAAAAAAAAAAAAAAAATGTATTGACTGAAAAGAATAGAAAAATTCCAAAAAAGTATATAATTCGCAAAAGTTTGAGCTCAAAACTTCATACTAGTCTTCTATTCATCTTTTTATAAATTCTAAATAAGTATAGAAAAAAAATAGAAAGAAAGTAAATTTACTATACATGCAATACCGTGAACTTTGATGTGAGTACAGTTAAACAATGGCTATATGGTAGTTCAACAATTGCTGGTGTCCGGGGAGGAAGAACGTTAAAATTCCTATTGCATTTATCCCATACCTCATTCTCTCCAATGCTTTTATATTTTTATTAGTTCTGGCTTTCTCAAACACAAATACATTGGTCAGTGAATATAAATATTATAAGTATTTTATTTAAAACAACGTTTTGACGGCTTTACAGTTGTATTTTCACAAACCATGTGTTGAAAAGCGCAGGATTGTCTGAAGTGTATTTGTTTATTTGGTCATAATTTTTTCTTCAGATATTTTTGTTTTCTATTGACGCGAATAAGTGTGTTTTTTTAATTTAATTTGGTAAGAATATACAGCAAATTATATATCAGCAGAAGTTGATAGTTAACGCTTCACAACAAATTCACCAAATACCAAAAAAAAAAACAGTTTTGCGTCTATTGTTACCAAGTTGATTACAATCAAACCAGAAATAGTCCCTCATTATTTGTATGAAGAAAAAAAAACCGTATACATATATATGAAATATATATAGCAACAAATTGTAGGTGACGAATCCTTATGGCCATGTACTGTATATTTCACATCTTCTTTCATTCATGGAAAACAATACGTTTTCTTCACATTTCCCTTTTTTCTACACAGAACATACCCGTGTCTCCTTTTATTCCAAGAAAACGATGTGTTATGGAAAATATAGGTTATAGGTTTTGTTTATTTTCTCCGATTGTATACAATTTAGCATAGCAAATATAAGAGTTGGCCACAGTTGTCAACAGAATAAATTTCCAAAATACGCTTGCGACACAGGCACCTATCTACTAGTATATACCTTTAAATATTTAATATAAATATATACTAGAACACACCATCGAAATCGCGGGCATTTAGAACGTGGTTGAAAGTACGTTAACTGTTGGAGGATGAATTTTTTGTAAAAGATTTTATGACTGGATAATTTCAGGAAAGGTATCAAAAGTAATGGGTACTTGGAGACATGACATTTTTTTTAACCCTCCCCTGTTTTTCTTAAGTCTATGAACTATGAACATACATATATAAATAAAGTGTATTTGCTATTTACTATCAATTCCAAGTTTAGTATCATAGGCGATATAGTCATTATAGAGACTCTATATAATATATCAGTGACAGCCACGGATAATAAACTTGGAATTGATAGTAATAGCAAAGACACTTTATTTATAGAATATGTATGATCATAGTATACAGAAAAACGCGAAAATAATTGTCCAGGTCCCAAGTACTTTTGAAAATTATGTGTACTTATAAAAGACAGTCCTAAACGGAAGTCTTGTCCATGACTAAAAGTCCGTCCGATGACGGAAACAATATTCGGACGCCTTTATTTTCGTTTTTCTCCCAAAATAACCCTTACTAAATAATCATTAGCGAGGATGACAAATGCTACTATGCATGGTACCTATAGGACACAGAGGCATATTGATTAATTTATCGTGGAAGGAAGAGAAGCGACACACAAAATGAGGACTTCTCATTTAATAGTATAAAATTTGTAAACATATTATTCAGAGACAAGTGCCTACGGCTTGCTGTAGGTAAACATTGATTCACTGATATCTACTTTATTTTTTAATAATAAAAAAAATCAATTTGTAAAAATCAGTCACATTCCTTATTTCTTTAAAGTTAAAATAAGATACTCAACAAAAAAATTTGCAAACAAAAACTTGTATATTCTGTGTTTGTAAATTCAAAAGTCAGAAGCTGGTCATTTTCTTATCAGTCATAGAACAACTCCTGCTGTGAAGACACATAAACAAGTGAATGTTGACAAAATGATATATCAATAAGTTGTTAATTGGGTAATGATCTTGCTATTTGACTAATGAAGCCTAGAAACTAGCCGTTGTGCTAAAACTTTTATACAATTTTACCCATGATGCTGGCAGATCTGCATAATACAAATTGATGAAGAATTTTAATCTAAATATATCAATACATTTATACATAATTTTTATATTTGATAATATAAAAGTAATGCATCTTAGGATGACTATCAATAGCAGGAACACTAAAAAAGTGTCGCGTCATAGCAGGCTATTTGGGATGTGTGGTTTATAGGCGTTTTATATTAAAGCTTAAAAAAGGGGCAGTACGAATTAATTAAAATGAGCGAAATAACATGACATCGTCAAACACACTGTTGAGAGAGATGCGATGGATGCCCATTTCATACTATTTTGTATTTATTTTATTATTTTAGTTCGAAAAGTACTTCACCAAATGACTCCGGAATATCTCAATGTATTTAGAACCGATGTATTTATAGATTATGTGTATCAGATTAGTTCTTTAGCTAAAGGAAAATTTCTTAAACATACTTTGTGTTCCAAAAACTAACACAGAATACTATACATGCACCTAAATTGTTGATAGATTTGGAAGTATTTTATTAAAGCAATTTGTCAACAAATTTTAAACAATGTAAGACATTTGAATCTTTAAAAAACATAAACTATTATATTGAAGAATAGTTTGTTTATTCTAATAGCAGTATATGATAGTTTAATATTTGTATTGGTATTTTTATTATTCAAGTTTATACTTTATGTTTGTAATATATATTTGTATATGGTGATGAGCTTATTATAAACTAGTATTTTATCCTGTTGAAATAAAAGGAAATTATTATTGGCGATATAAATAGACCCAGGGGAACTTTGTTCAGCAAACAGCAACCTATCAAGTATAACGAAGAATGATATTAAGGAGAAGACATGGAATAGTAATTACAGAAAGATTAATTCTCTAAGTACTGACTGAAGGGGGCGATGTGTGTGTTGTTTTATTTCGTCTTAGGACATCTCAAATTTTAGGTTTTTCCGAAGACCATCCTAAGACACCTATTGATATATCCAAACTTTAGGAGCAAATTTGTAATATTTTATCTTAGGAGACTCTCGTTAAACTGACTTAGTACTAAGACGTGCCCTACGAACACCCTAAGACACGTCAAAGTCCTATGAAAGCTTCGTTGACACGGCCCCAGTATCCCAATTTTCACGATCTATAGCTATAATATTTAGGGGTTTTCGTGGTTTATTTTTTTAATGTATCAATCTATGACGATCCGTTTCTTATCGTATCCCGTTATCAATGCACATAATTGCATGGTCATTTGTGGACAAATGTTCTTCTATAACCTCACCTTTAACGTCTGGGTATGGAAGTACTCTACATGCCAATATAGTGCTTCCTTTGTCATGACAACTTCTGGGCACGGAAGTTCAGAATTAACTAACAGTTATTTACTTTGTTTATGCAACCTTGTCAAGATGATCATGTATATATATAAATAACACACACCCTAAATAATATTACTTGGGTATAGAAAGTCTGTCCTTCATTTATAGATAGCCAGTTTAATAGTCTAGATCCTTGTATTTCTTAAAAAAAGTTGTATTGTAGTTATAAATCGTGATGGATTATTCATCTTTACTATCTAGTGATGATGAACTTGATATGATCGAAAATGTGTCTATTGAAGATGAAAGCCTTCATCTACGATACTATTCATCTGGTGAAGATGAAAACAGCAGCAAAAGACAAAGAGTGGAAACAACAACCAGTGATAATATGACAGGAGCATGTGGCGGACCAGAGGATATGCCCGATGAGTCCATGTCATCGGTAAATGACAGTGTTTTGGAATGCAGTAGAGTATCAGTCAGTCGTTCTAGTACTCCGTCCGTTCGAATGAATTCTCGTACCTCAACCAATTTGGCAAGTACACCATGTTCCAGCAGGACAATCATTCCGACTTTCCTAAGAACACCTTTATCTGGAGAAGTTCGTTCTAGCAGGTCACCTACACCTGTCACAGACATATCAAGAAAAGATCAGACTACAGGATCAGAAAACAAGGTAATTAAAAACTTTAAATATCGATGAAAATTCCCACAATGAAGTGTTTACTGATTGTAATATGTTATGGTTTAATTATGTCTATCTGTCTGCTAACAACGGACACGATTTTGTCAAAGATACTTGGGGACAGGACCCTTTTTTTTTAGCCCGCCCATTTTTTCCTGAAATTTGTTTAAAAAAAATCTGTTAACTTCAATTATTTTCGCATTTTTTAGTGTGTTATATCAAGGAGTTTATATGAGACATAAAAATACTAGAAATATCTATCAATTCCAAGTTTACTATCCACAGAAGTCACTGATAATAGGATAGTATACATGCATATCAGTGACAGAGTTGATAGTAAACTTGGAATGATAGAAAATTGCAAATACAAGTTATTTCTAGTATATTTATTTTCGTATAAAACAGAAAAACGCAAGAAAGATAAATGAAATTATAAGAAAACAAAAACAATAACAAATTACAGGAACAAAAGGGGGAGGGCTAAAACAAAAGTACCCTGCCCTAATTTCCAACGATTTTTATTAGAACAGTGTAAGACACGTGACCATCATAACACACATTGAAAAAAATATCTTTAAATTCAAGATTTTTTTGTGGGTAACAAACTTTTTCCTTTAAAGGTTCAAATATGTTTTTTTTCACACCTACTTCAAAATTTCACATTTCCGGGACAAATGTTCTTTCGTGTATCTTTTGTTTTAAAAATACGCTATTTTTAATGTCGTTTTCTTTAATTAACAGTGATGCCGCATTTACCATGAAAGCCCTTCATTACTAAAGCTGTATATTGGTCATTTTCAAAAGAATTTTCAGTACACCCATGCTAAATTTTTTTATTTCTAATGGAAAATGCAGTTGTAAGTGTTTAGATGAAAGTTTGTAGGACTTATGAGTAAGAACATTAATAATAAACACGATTTAGATCTATTTTGATAAGATCAAAATATATTTAAGTCCGATGTTTGCGTAATTTATGTGCGTACAGTGTCCGAGTAACACATTTCAAATGATTTTTTTCCTATTTTCTGATCTTCTTGATACATGTCAAAGGGACTTTTTTAGAACGTAAATAATAAATCTAACGAAAAATCGTAACGTCATTATTATTATATGTAACATTTTTTTATACAAACTATATTCAATCAGCGTACATGAAGTTCATGTCCATCCTGTTACCACTACTTAAATCAGCCGTTAAAGTTTTCTCCCTATGAATATTGAACTAGTCAGTGTTGATTTCAAAAGCGCAAAGTAACCTAAACATTTAACACAGCACGTTTCTTGTATAACAATGTAGAGAAAAGAAATTTCGAAACCTTTAGTGAAAAAAAAAAAAGTGGGTACTTTTTGTCATGTCTAAGCTGTTACCAACATATTGATTAATTACACCAATATTATACTTGCAAAAAGTGCAATAACGTGTCGGAAACCAAAATCACAACATAAAAACATTATCACTTCATCAAAGGGAGTAGTTTTTTTCACAACAGCATTCAAAAATGAAGGCTGTTACTATGGTTGCTATGGTTACAGTAACAGGATAGACAATAGTAAACAGAAACGTCTTTAAAAAGTTTATAACAACATATAGTTGCACACTTAATGAAACGTTTCGTTGTTTGAACACATCTAAAGGTTATAGCGTCTTAATCTTCGCAATTTAGCATTTGCAGGTGCAATACTGCTATCGGTAACAGGATAGACAAAAAGGTAACAGGATAGGATATTTCATTAACGTACGTTCCTGTTACCAATAAAATAAAGACAAAAGTAAACCAACGTGCGAGGGATTTACTTGATGTTGGGTTTATTTGAAAGAGAGAACAAATGCTGAACATTATGAATTGCTATCTTAGACTTGCATTACTGGTGGTTATTTTTATAACCTTTGAAAACCAATTTTAGAGGCATTTTTCAGTACAACATAGAAAATTGGCAAATAATCTATTATTTCACAGAATGAATATAGTTAGAAGTTTTTCCTCTTGAAAACCATCTTATTGGCTACGAAAAATGTTTATTTAAGTTAAATTTAAAAATAGCCGAATCAAAATAAAACGTTCGTAATCGTATAAATTTGTATATCATATGTCATCTTTAGTTTGCAAATGTAACTAATATATGTTTGATGGCAGTTACCTCAGCTATCGGCTAGATGATGTGTCTATTAATTGTTTGCATAAAACGGCCAACAGAAAATCAAAGACGAATGTTTTGAAAATGAAATTGCACACAGCAAGACATCATTATTAACCAAATTGGATTTATTCGACGTACCCTAAAGATACATATCTTAACTGCCAACATAATTTTGTTTTTAGGTTAACGATGTTCCTTTATATTTTTTTCTCAAATTTTCATATCTTCAACGGTTTTAATCACTGCCTGATTTCTAAACCAACGGTGTGAAAAAATACAGGATGAAATGGTCATTAATACGTTTTGCGGCTAAATTCAAATTACCAATACTGATATTTGAAATCTGGACAAATCAAGTATATAGTGAATGAAAGTATATATTTATCTACTTTATTGATTTAAGATGGTGTGGCGCCATCCTGGTAATTGAATCTGCTCAGAAAATAATTCCACGAAGATAAAAAGAAACGAAATTTCTTTTTCAACTTGCCCTGTACGCTTAGAAATAGGTTATCAAAAAGAAGATGTGGTAGGATTGTCAATGAGATAACTCTCCACAAGAGACCAAAGGACACAGACATTAACAAACAGTCGAAGAATTCTTATAAAACTATATTGAAAAGCCCGACAGATAAATACACTATCAGATTTAAGAAAAAAATGAAAGCATCTGTCGGACAATTGACAAATAGATATAATTTCTGAGAATCTCTTATATTATGATTCTATCGATTAATGAATAAATAAAAAAGCATTAAAGATTAAACATCTTAAAACAATTTATTTCTTTATTATCTTTGAAAAGTAAATGATAACTTATGCAGGGGCGGATCCAGCCATTTTTAAAAGGGGGGGGGGGGGGTCCCAACCCAGGATAAAGGGAGTCTTCCAACTGCATGTCCCCATTCAAATGCATTGACCGTAAAAAAGGGGGGTTCCAACCCCCGGAACTCCCGCCCTGGATCCGCCACTGGTATGTTTAGGTGTTAAATATCCTTATTCTTTTATGATCTAAATTTTGTCGGTTAGTTGTTCTTTTTTCCGTTTTAATAATTATGAACTTTCAATTTTTGGTTGATAAAAAATAAATGAAATTAATTAATGATTTTTGAAACAATGTTTTACCCCATCAAGAATGTCCTTTAATTTAAAAATACTAACAAAAAAAAAGGAGGCATATCATATAAATGAATAAATAAAAAGCAATAACGTACACTTCAATCCGATTTTTTTACCGTAGTTTTCTATTTTCAGTAAAACTACTTGTATTTCTTTGTTAACACGCTTCTTGGTCCTTTCTATCATCGTCTCTGATTATTATTGTACACACATGTTCATTATTTTCAAAATAAGATAAATATTTAAAAGAAAATAAAGACCAATCATTCGCACTATTACCATGTTGTCTAAATGAACTGTTGCAAAATCAATAGTTATACAATATCAATCCGTTAATTGGGTTTTCAATGCGTAGCTACATGTACATGTAGCTATAACTAAAGTTGTTTGGTCAATTTCAAACCAAAACGGAGGCAAAAGCCGCTAATCGGAAATATTTATTCGTATTCTTTATCTATGAATATTGTAAAATTAAAACTGCGGCAACAACTGAAAATGTTCTATAATTTTACCATATATTTCAATTAAAATATGTGATGTTTACTATAGAACCCTATGGATTTTTTTTTTAATTTTCAAATGACTTTAACTTGAAAACAGTAAGTGATAGACACACGCATTCTCCATTAATGATCACAGGACAATGAAACAAATATGGTGAGTCCCTGTGGGTCACCCCACCCCCTTCAATATCAGAATGTGCTTTTATCATGTAAACGGTCGAGATCCCCACCCATAAACCATATATATTCTTGTATGGGACAATAAAACAAACCAAATGAAATATTGGGGGAGTCCCCGGGGTCACCCCCAACCCCTTCTGTTTGAGAACTTGTGAACGGTCGAGATCCCCACCCCTAAACCATATATATTCTTGTATGGGACAATAAAACAAATCAAATGAAATAAAAGGCGCGTCCCCTGGGGTCACTCTCAGCCCCCCTCCTGTTTGAGAACAAGTAAACGGCCGAGATCCCCATCCCGAAACCATATGAATTTTATGTATGGGACAATTAAACAAATCAAATAAAATAAAAGGCGCGTCCCCTGGGGGTCACTACCTCCCCCTCCTGATTGAGAACTTGTAAACGGTCAAGATCCCCATCTTTTAACCATATATATTCTTGTATGGAACAAAAACCAAATCAAATGAAATAAAGGGCGAGTCTCCTGGGGATCACCCCCTTTTGAGAACTTGTTAACGGTCGAGATCCCCACCCCTGAACCATAGATATTCCTGTTCCTGTTGAAATAACTATACTTACTAAAATAGAATCTTCTGAATGAAACGGTAATTCAACTTGGATCTGTAACAGGTATCAACTCGGTTTTCTTCTTTCTGGTTTTCTGATTTCTTGAGGATCAATTTTGAAGCTGTGGTAGCACTTATATCTTTGTCCGAATCCGAATAATGAATGCTGTCATATATTCACGTCATTATATATACTGTATTATATAACATTCATAAGTGGTTGTATGTTGAGAATCAATAGGAGCCTGTTTATAGAGGATGGGTATCGTGACTATATGGAATCAAGGAGGTTATATGAGAACCTTAAGTAACTTCCTTGATGGAATCAAAAGACTATCATTTTCAAGGACTGCACGGATTTGTCCTTTTATTCAGATTTTTGAACACGGATTATTTGTATACGACAGTTATACATATTCATATCTCTTTATCTCATGTAAATCATCTAGATTTCATTCTAGACAGGACAAAAAATCTTCAAACCAGTTATAATAATTTTTCAAATTTTACATAAATATAAAAATATACCAAAGAGAGGCAGAAAATACCAAAAGAATATTTCCATGGGAAATTAAAATTCAAACATTAATGAAAATGCTTGAAGTGTAATATCGCCCAAGTTATTTGTTACAATTATTCAATGTTGTTCAATTATAAAAGAGAGTAAACACCTGCGTATATATAAATGTTTATTCACACAATTAATCTTAAAACTGTTGATTAATTTAGATAAATAGATAATAATGTATATGTTATGCTTTTAATCTGTTATAAACACAACTTGTAAAAAGTCAGTGACTCTCATACATTTAGTGTTTTTTTTTAGGTACATACAGTATATATTCTGGATGACATATCTATTTAGTTTTCTAAATGATAAACTTCATTGAGTTTTGTAATTCATGTTTTTCAAATGATTTAGTTATTTTTATTTCGTTTAGATTGACACTTTAACAAATGAAGTCATCCAAATGAAAAGACAACTGGTAAAAGTGCAAGAAAACCAAAGTAATGTTGAAAAGAAAGTGGATATTTTGATTCAATTGCTACACTCAAAAACAAATGAACCAAAAAAAGGAAGCCAAAAGATTAACGTTCCTGCACAAATTGCAGTAAGTAATTATTCATTGTGCATGTAGGAGGGGATAGCTTATACAATCTTCATTTTTATGTAGTGCAACATAACAATATGCACTAAGTTTGCGAACTTAAAATTCAATGTCATTTATCTTTATTTGTTAACGGATTACAAAGCTAAGTGTTGACCATGATTGTTGTCGGCAACAGATTTGCGGCAAAAGATTTGCATACATATTGAACACTTACAATTTGTGTATTAATTGTACAAAAACTGGGACATTTTCCAAACTTTGAATACATGTTGTCGTGTTTATTAGAACGTAATATTAATGAAGTCGTGAAGTTAACAATATATATATTACATTTTGTATAATTTGCGACTTTCTACACATATGCATTACTTCAGTTCTCAGTTTTTTATTTGAGCATGCAATTTAAATTCATTTCAAATGCCTAAGAGCGTATCTTTTCCCTTTCAGCAATCAATAAGGGATGGTTACCAGCAGGGTATTACTGAAAAGGATTTCATCTGGAAAACAAAGAACGAAGCTGGCAGTATTCTTAAGTATGTATATGAAATTAAATGATTTTGAAATTTCGTTGGAAATTAAAAAATCGCATGGCTTATCTATATTCAATTAATTGATGTTATTTAATTCGTTATGTATGTCCACATTCATCATTAAACAATACGGTTTTCGGAAATATGTTCGATTACTTGTGATTTACGACATTGAAACAGATTTAATTTTGATCATACGACTACTTTTAATCTTTTATCATAATTCTAATTCGAGTATAAATCTGAACTTTTAAGTCATTTTAAGTGAAAAGTTTGCAAGAGATATAAGTGTATTTAGTAATCATATTTCTATTCAGATTCAAACAACATTTTAGCACACATTGATAATTTTACCGACATTTGTTACACTCTTGTTTAAGGAATGATCTCCTTTGGTCAGCTATGATTTACAGTAAGATTATTTTTCAAATTATTTTTTTCAGATATAATTCAGCAGAGAACAAAGAGATGTCCGGATTCATCATTGAATTCGTAAAAGGCCAATATCCTGACGAAGTGGAGGGTGTTGTTAGAGGTTTGTAGTACAAAAATTTAATAAGCAGACACTTTCAGTAATATTTTGAAACGCTATATAATTTCCATATTATAAATAAGTTTTATGTTAACGAATCACTTACTAGCAAATGCATAATATCATGTAACTTTAATAGATCCATTTTGATTTCGATCATATCACATCAAAACATTCTACCATGGACTACCAAATGACACGGTTTGGTCTCAATTCGAGAAAAGCAATTGCATGTTTAATTATTATTTTAAATTGCATTAAGTAGATGTTTTGTTTTGTAGAAGGAATAAAGACAAATTTTGAATCGTTCAAAGCAAAGAAACGAAGAGAAGAGACTGGTAAACAAGAAGAACATAACAAGAAAATGGCTGTGTACAGCAGAATGAGAAGAGTAAGAACTGTTTTCTTTTTTATTATGGTAAACAATTTGGAAAAAAAAACCTGTTTCTTGAATCTGTATTAGTTCCAAAAAAAAGCAGTGGTATAAAGATTTCTGATACCTCAGTTGTAATTTTCAGTAAACTACATACAGTCCATAAATTACAGAAGCGGATTTAGACAGGAGCTTTATTTGTTATTATATAGTTATATCACTCTAAAATAGGGACCCCTTTTAACTTAATTAATTCATTTTCTTTTTGCTTTTTGCTTTTTGCTGATTTCCTATTGTGACGCTACAATAAAATGGTGACTATTTCTAACGACGTCAGATATATGATCACATACTAGTACTTACATCATTTTGCAGATTAGTGAAAAAGAATGTCTACGTAACATCTAAAAATCAAAATAGAAAATACGGCGCTTTTTCACAAAAAAAAAAACTTAAGATTGCTTTTTGCTGGACGTTATTGTTTATAAAAATAATGATAATAATAATATCTATATTGAAAGAGAGTTATTACGGCATATATAGAATCTATCTGTATGTATTCAAAATGAAATTAAAGGAATTTTCATTTGAGCTTTATTTTATTTTGTTAGAAATTAAACAACAGAAAAAAGGCATTAAAAGAAAAATCCAGTATTCCAAAGGAACAAAAAGAAACAGTCATGCAAAGTATGGAGATGCAGTATATGTCTTCTGAACAAACAGATTCAGAAGACGAAGGATCGTTTATCGTCAGACCTCTGCCTTGGAGGTCTGACGATTTTGACAAATTAGTCAAAAAACTAGACCAAAAACATGATGGAAAACTAACCAAGAGAAGCAGACGGCAGCATAATAGGCGAAAGGTTGGGGCAGTTTCCTCAAGGAAAAAACCAGAAGTCGTGCCAGGACATGAATGGGTGTTTAGATAGTAAAAGTCATTGATTAAACTTTTCAGTCATCACGAAATCAAATAGATGCGAACAGAAAGACAAAAAATGCACCTTCATGTCGGATGTCAGCATACCGTCTTCAACAACAACAAGCGGTTCGTAGGAGGATGTTTTGATAAAAAATAGTAAATATTAAGTGCTTCTTGAAACAACAGTACTGTCGCAATAGGCAAAACTATCTACAAATAACAAGAACAATACACATGTCATTTGCAAAACAAAATTATTACCTTTTTGATTTGAAACCTAACATCACGGAAAATAAATGTAAACAATTATCATTTTATAGAATTGTCATGTCTAGATGGAAAACCTTGTTGTTTTTATTTAATATATAAGTGATACCGCGGAAACAAGCAGTGTATTTTATTTGCACACAGTAGTAAATTTTTTAAGACAAAATGGAAATTCTTCGAAATAGTAAGAAACTTCGTATATATCAAGTTTCAATATTTTAAATATTTCTTTTTTGCGTAATTATACAATATTAACATGAAAAAGCTATATAGCAGTAAATTGTATCTGGTATCCTGATGTAAGCAATCATACAATGCATGTATACAACAGCTGGTTTTACATTAAAAATCCTTGTCTTAGTGGTGAAACTCTTCATTGTGTATGTTGCTCATTTGTGTCCACGCGAGCATAATCAAATATATATTTTAAACACTAGGATCTAATTTATTATGTGATTTTTTTTACAATTGATTTAAAACAGTAAGCAATGAAAGGGAAACAACTCTTGTTAAAATAAGAATATTTTTCGTATCTTTAAAAAATTGAAGAAATTTTTAAAGTTTAATATGAAGGGAAATAAAGGTATGTTCAAAGAGCAGACATAGAATGTTGCTTTAATTCAAACCTTATTCAAACGTTACAAAAATAATATAAACGAATGTATTACACTTATTACAAGTTATGTCAGTTGAAAAGTGATTAGATGGATATTTTGAATATATAAATGTTTAAGAGAGAAAAAATAGCAATTACAAAAAATAAAAATAAAACAAAGAAGAGAATAAACAACATGAAAAAATCGAGGCTTTTTTCACTATGGGATAACGGGCGTTATAATGAAAAAAAAATATCTACGGTACAGCAGCGGGATATTCAGAAGGTTTTTGTTTTAACTTAAAGGTTTATACGTTCATAATTATTAAGATTATTATAAAAAATAAGTACGAAGATCTTGATTTTTTTTTACTTTTATAAGAAGGGGGTTGCATATAATTAGGTGCGCGTGTTAAACCCTCCAAATTACGTTGGATTTCATTATTCAGCTCGAACTTTTGTATTCAAAGGGAAATAAATCTTTCTATTAAAACAGTTGTTAGTTGCAATTAGAATCAATTAGGTCATACAATGGAAACAACCACAACAAAAGGATTCTTCAAATATCGTAATGTTTATTATATTTAAATGCTCAGTCCTTTTACATCATGAAGATGATAAAATTAAATGTTACGTTTTATGTATGTTTTATTGTTCCTTAAAACAGCAATAACAAAAACAATCAAAAATACACAAAATTAGAGTTTTATGATTCGATATGTATGCAGATGGTTTTTTTTCAAATTATTGTAGAAAGAAATGTTAGTTCTTTCATATGTCATGTATTTGTAAATTGAAAATAATAAATAAATTTAGTTAAGACTCTAGACAATTGTTTTTTTTTTATTCAGGATTTCGCCTTAGTTAAGCTAATTCTCCATTATAGACAGCTTTTTAATGACATTTCCAGTTGCTCCTCTCACTGTAATTATCTCATATTTTGAGGCAATCATGAGTCTTTGATTCGAATTATTGGTTGAGGCAACATAGGGTGCACAATTTTGCTTTTGTTTGTAATAATGAAGAACTTTTGCATAAACAAATATGTCATGCATTATAATAGAGTTTGTAAGAACTGTAACTGGTGATATATGGATGAAAACTGCAAATATATTCTGTTTACTGTGGTGAATATGCAGATCAATTGACATATATTTGGTGCAACAAACACGGATATTACACAGATTTGATTATAGTATATGGAGTCAAAATGAGTTTAAATTTGAAGTAAATCAAGTTATATCACACATTAAATCTTTAAACTTGGAGTTGAATCTGATTTCAATTTGCATTAAATGAAAGTTTATTGTTGTATTAAATTTTGCAACTCGAGGTTAAATCAGATTTAAAACCACAGTAAACAGTTTTCTGTTTGGAATATCTTTGACTTTAATTTTTAGTAAATCATGTTATACAGGTTTGCTCTACATTAAATTTGAAGTTGTATGTCTATTAAACTTTGTTAAATTTGAAAATTACTGGACAGTAAATCAGGTGTCAATTCATGAACTTACTGCATCCAGTAAACTATTTGTAAACTACTATTAAACATTGCGTTTACTTGACCTATAAACTACCAGAAAAAAAATAAACTCGGAAATTAAGACTGATTTTCAAGTAGTTTATTGTTTCCTTAAACTAATACTTTCATGCAGTGATTCCTTCATAGATACAAATATTTGGTTTGCAAGTTTGGCTGTACCTCCAAACAACTTATTCCAGACGAAATAATACATCCTAAATTTTAAGATGATGTTGTTTACCAAGCTCGGATCAATCCTTCAAATAAACTCAATTTAACATATTTTTCAATTCAACACTGTTCTTAGATCTTTGTATATTGTTTTATATTGTTTTATTGGTACACATATTGATTTTGTTATCTGTAAATTGAAATCATACTAAACAGTATTGTTATGCACAAATCCATTTTAACGGTATTACAATAATTCGATATCTTTTTGTTTTTGTCATTGCACAAGGCCATGTGTTTCTCTGACTGTTAATGACGTCTTTACACTAAATCTATTGGATGTTGGATGTGTACGGATCGATATTTTAGTCTTAGATACATGATTTGTTTTATAAGTTGCTATTGGCTTTCAGCAACTGCAAGTACTATCAGATTTGTACTAAGTGCCTTTTCTGTGGATGAGGGATGGATACATATTCTTCCACGTCCGGTCTGTGTTTTTGTTTGATGTTTTTTCTGCTTTGTATCGATCTGATGAGTTGAGCCTTTTCAACTGAATTTCATAGTTTATTCTTGTGCTGTGCTGTTACACCACTGTCCCATGTTAGGGGATAGTTGAGCACTCACAAACATGTTTAACCCTACCACATTCTGTATGCGCCTATCTCAAGTCAGGATTCTGTATTTGAGTAGTTGACGTTGGTTCATTATTCATATTTGTTTTTCGTAAATTGTTTTGTTATACATTAGAACGTTAGTTTTCTTAATTGAATTGTATCGCATTTTTTTCATGGCGGGGCCTTCTATGGCCTTCTATGGCCGACTACTTGGTATGAGTTTTTGTCATTTTCGAAGGCCGTACTTTTGACTATACTTACTACCATTCTTTTTATTTGAACTTTGGTGGATAATTGTCTCATTGGCAATCATACATGAACCACATCTCCAATTTTTTTATTGTTCAAATAAATATGTTTATGTTTATAAATGGCATAAACACATAGATATGCCATTAATCCGGTTGGCCTTTATAATTTTTGCAAGATAGCCGAACACCGAAATTTGTTTTGCAATTTTTCGGCAAGCAGGAAAAATTACAACTGCCTAAATTAAATAACTGCCGTGTTTAACTTAACCAAGTAGAAAAGATAAGGAAAGTCAAAAGATACTAAGTAGAAAGCAAACTCATCTGTCGAAAATAAACTGACAGCGCGATAGAGAGTAAATGAAAAGGACCAAACAGACAGACAACCATATAAAAAACACAATATAGAAAACTAAAAACTAAGCTATATGTAGTCCACCAAAAAACGGGGATGATCTCAGGTACTCCAGGATGATACGCAGGTCCTGCTCCACATGTGACAATGATCTCTTTCTAATTTAACATTATGATTGTCTATAGACTGTGCCATTCTGTTGATAATAACCACTTTAACAATACTAGTATTTTTGTTTTGTTTTGTTTTATATTGTATGGCTATTGCATTGTTTTTACCCTACCCAAACTTGTCCTTGTTTTTTCCAAGAAATGTTGATATATTAAACCAAGAGCGAACTAGTTACCTCCTGTCATGTAAAAATTAAATTTTTAGAATTCCCAATAATATTGAGGGGTTAACTCAACTATTAGCTAACAAAAGAAACGAAACATCACTTTCTGATATCATACCTTCGTTACGGCATTAAATCTTTATCGATCTAAAAGCTGAATATGACATTAGATTAAATATAAGTAGGACACACATTAAAACATATCACGAATACACTTGCTGACGTACCTTTAAAAACGCATGAACAATTAAGATCGTAATGCATAGCGATAGTAAAATTTCCTCTCGCACATGAAAGGAATTTTGTATCACAGGAAACATTTAATAAATTCATATAATACTTTTAAGTACTAAAATAATGGATGTTTGTTTATGGATTTAGATGGTACTACAATACTTTTTATTTGATGTAATAAATGTATTTCAATCTTACTAAACTAATGTTTATTACTTAGTTTCATATACGTTTTATCAAGGTAACATTAAGGGTTCCAATGTTACTGCACCAGAGGAGCAATTCGACAACTAATATCAATTTTTCCTTCGATCAATTCAAACTATTTGCTTTTACAGGTTTTCGATTTCGCAATCTCCTGTTTGCGCATACATGACGTTTGATAGAAATGAAAACACAGACTTCATTATGTAGACATTCCCACGTTGCTTTTTAACATAAAATATATGTACAGTCATAAGTTCCCTAAAACTGGTACATATTAAGCATACTGTACAAGAAATACGCAATACACCTAATAAGTATTGTAATTCATAAAAAAAAAAAAAAAAAAAATGCGGAAAAAATTCTGCACAATCCTTCCACACATTAAAAACAGATGTTCTCAATGGACTATCTCAGATCACATTTAAGTACTCAAATAGTCGAAAATTGGTGTTTGAAATGGATTCAGCTCTACATTAACTAACTTTCAAATACCTTCCTAAAATGAATAAAGTTATTTTAGTTTAAATCGTTAGAAAACCAGAGTAAGAACCGACACACGAAGTGCTACGCGACCAAAAGGGAACTTAAAACAGCTAAATTCGTCTATGGTCACCGTTTCCGCAGGGGGTCAGAACCTTGGTTTCTAAAAAAATACTTAATATATCATCGGTAAATTAAACGAAAGTTGTAAGAAGTTATCCCATTACCGTCCCAGGGCTTTTAACAGTCTACCAGCAGTAGTATCGACTCATTTGTAGTAAACGAAAATAACACTATTAATTCATTCGCCAAGAAGCTATTATCAATCTATCTCGATCAAAAAGGAGGACGAGTATGTATAAGACCCTTAAACACAAGGAGTAAACACAATGGATCATACATAGTCAAATTCATCGAAGGTCATCTTTGTCTGAGCTGGAAACTTAATAACTTTATAATGTCAGCGGAAAAAAAGGAAAAAGTGGACAAGTTATTATAAATTAGAACATGTTTTCCTTTCCATTGAAATGTTTGCATGTTTTTCCTTTCCATTAGAAATGTATGCTTGTGCCAATTTTGAAAACCCAACTATCATGGAAAGGGTTTTGCAAGAGGGTAATCTATGTTTACATGAACAGTGTATTTTGGGGGGGGGGGGGGGGGGGGGGGGGGGGGGGGGGGGGTAGAATGAAATTAAAAAAAAAGATAATGTATAGTGCTAATAATATAGATACAAATGACTAGACAGTGTTTTCTGTACAGATACACACACTACTCTTTTTATTTTGAATAACGACGGAAATTTTACCGAAAGTTGTTAGAAGTTTTGTCATTACCGAAGCACGGACTAATTTGATGACACCCTCAGCCCAATAACAGTGACCCAGTTGTAGTAAAGGAAATTAACACTGTTAATTCGTGTGTCCAAAGATTAACATGATCATGAATACTAATACCAACAATTGAAAGTCAGAGCATATATAAGTTCTTTATTGAAAAAGCACTTTACGCCAATGGCTTACAAACATTATACAAGATATACATATAATACAGTAAAACAATGAAAATAAACAATACAGCCACTTTCTACTATAATCATTTCTTTGAATCCATATATATATATAAGAGATTCAAATATTATCAAGGACTCACTGCCCTCAGTCTTAGTGACTTTTTAAAAAAAGGAGCCTTATTTGTTAGTGTCCTGTTTTGTTTCAGAATTGAGGATATGTTTTATTTTATCTATTTCGTTAAGACCCTAACACGCATGCGATTTGACCACACATGATCATACTTAGCAAAATTCATCGAAATTTAACTTTACCCGAAGGAAATTTAGTTTCTTGATTTAAAAAAAAATAATACTTTCTTGATTTAAAAAAAAAATTAGTTTCTTGATTTCGAAAAAAAATTGTCTTCATTAACAGTATTTTGGAAAAAGCTGTTATAAATTAACATGTTTTAATAACATTACTATCTTTACTAAATGAAATATACTTACACAGATCATGTATTAAACAAGAATCTGCAAGCAAACTTGTAACATGCATACATTTTCTAGTAATTTGAAAATATCTAAGTGTTAAACATACTTATTCCAACTTTTAATTGCATCAATTTGAGTG